AAAAATGAACATAAGACTTCATTTGCATATGAAATAGCTGCAATCAACTGCCACATCCGAGGAATGTGCAGTTATCTGTTCATAGCAAATAATTTACGCACACAAATCCTAATCTGTGAACTTCCAACGACCGCATACGCAGAAGACTGAGTCAGTTCCCAACCAGCATTCTAAGGTGCAATCACGCACTTAGCCTATTATGGCGAGAGGTAAGGCATGTTGTTGGCCCACCCTCGCCCATGTATCTGGTAAGTGCCTGATGCTTGGAATGTCATTGCTAGGACGAATAAAATTAAGGCAAGAGGGGCGACCAAAAGATTCTTATTTCAGTCCGCTGTATATTTCTAACACTAAACCTTTATTACCATCGCTCCCCCATGCCTCCTCTCAGACACATCATCTCCAGAGCACACCACTCCAAAACGTGAAAGGTAAACAAATTTTGATCATCCAAGTACAGAATTTACTAGTAACAACACTCTTTCAAGCACAAGTATTGAAGAAAAACCTGGAAGTGTCGTTATCGGGATTGTGGCTGATAACAATCGCGTAATCTCCGGAACATCTAGCGAAAACACCGCGGTCACCGACATGGTGTTCGACGTTACAAACGACGGCACCTTCAGGAATCGCCCTAAGGGGCAAGACATTTCCGACCATGAGATTTGCCTTCTTCCCGCAGTAAACAAATTGGCCAGTGTACATACCCTCAGCCGCAACGAACAGTTCATTCTGCTTCTTGTACCTGAAAGGATGGCGGAAGGTAACTCGAGCAAGCGGTGCTCCACGGCCAGGATCGTGAATAATCTCAGAGACGACTCCTTTCAAATAGCCATTCCGTTCGCCGAAGTCAAGACTTCTGAACCTGGCCGGACCCTTCCGGTGATGGGTATGGGACTTGAAGACGGATCCCGCTCCCTTACGCTGAGCACGAATAACTCTTCCCATGTCGTCTCCGCAAGGTCGGAGATTTTCAGTTCGCTACCGCAGAGATTACGTAAAAATCTAGGGTTTAGATAAATTTATATCACACGAAAATGAAACTGGTCGGCCCATTTCTAGTACACAATAGAAGCCCAACTATTTGGGCTTTTTTAGACTACTCGCCCATATTGTTGCCTGCATAGAAAACGAAACTGGACGGCCCATTTATAGTACATAGACGAAGCCCAACTATTTGGGCTTTTTAGACTACCGGCCCATAATGTTGCCTGCATTGAAAATGAAACCGGCTGGACCATTTCTAAGACATAGTCGAAGCCCAACTACTTGGGCTTTTTTAGACTACTGGCCCATATTGTTGCCTGGTTGGTAATAGATTCTTTTTTAACCTAAAGTTGACATTTCATTATTAAGGTAAAATAATATTTTTGTCACTCCCTCCCCTTGAAAAAACTCCAATTTTTTTTAATCCATAAATTTTATCATTCAAATTCTTGTTTTTTTTTTTCAATAAATTATTTATTTATTTATTTTTCAACCGTTTAATTATAATATATATTTTGAAAATTTTAGGTTAGCAATTCATAAAATTTTCATTTATTTGAATTCAACCCAATTCAAATAACTTCATAACTGAGTTGGGTTAATCGAATATTTTGGATCATCGAATTTTTTGGACACTCCAAAATACAAATAAACATCGTAAACAAACAATCACTATAGGCATAGAGTTCGTCCAGAACGGTCAAAATCCAAAGATTTAAGTTCGGTTTTGAACAAAAGATGTGTGGTAGGGAACGCCCCCAAATGAAACCCACATGACCAAAAAGAGTATAATATAAAGTCTCCTTAGACATATAGTGAGCCCTACAAACTTGGGGTAAGCCAAGCCAAGCCAACCCCATACAGACATATGGTCTCCAAACTACTTCAAAAGTCTCAAAGAATGTTGTCCTAAATCATGTCATTTTCATTATCTCTATCTATTTTCGTGGCGAAATTTTTAAATATGGATCTTTAATTTGGCATAACGGTCAAATTTGGATGTCTATTTCTAGAAACATCTTTGTATGTGAACGGTTTAACCTTTCGGATACCCATTTTATTTTGTTGCTTGTTATGGGTAGGAGTTCTGGTATAAGCAATTATAACTCATCAAAACTTTTATCTTATTTTTCAAAAAAAGAAAAAAAAAGTTAATCACCGAAATTAACTCATTTGATTGTGACACCTCTTGATTTGCGATGACGTCAAGACATATGGACCATGTTGATTGGAAACCAAGATGACAAACAGGATGCGATGTTGCATTGAGAGACCTTGGCCAGAGACAAGGTCAAGCCGAATGACTTGGCCTAGTGTGTGACCGAACAAATTTGGATTCTGCACGAGTGATGTTCGGTTGACGAACACAAATCTTGTTTAAAGTCCGATGAAGCTATAATGTCGGACGAAAAATGAATGTGGGACTTAAATTTCCTTTAAAATTGATCGTGAGAATGTCGTAGAATTATAAGATAAGGATTAAGAAGTTAATGAGAGGATGAAAGGCGAGTTAGCCAATAATTAAGGGAAGATAAAAGTCGTCTTCTGCGGCTATTGATAGAACATACTTAGACGGGCAAAGCACGGAAGGTATACAATATGCACTGTTTGGTGGAATGATCCACATTGTATGGACATCCCTAGCCCCACCCCCATGTGCATTGATTTTTTTCCTTCTTTTAGGTTCACATTGTAATTTGATGGACTCGAATTTTGAGATTTATGTCTATTTGGTTTTAAAGTTTCAAAACGCCGGCATATAACGGTCTAGTATTTTGTTAAGTTAAAATTAAGTCATGGATCATTTAGAATCGTTATGCAAACTTGTAAACCAAATAGACATCATGATCAGCTTCATATTTCGGATCAGAAGTCCATTACAATGATATTGCGTAAAATCAAAGTTCAGTTAACATCTCTATACTCAATTTTCGACTTGAAGTTTCACTCTAACATATTAAGATATGAATAAAGAAGCTATTAATTTGACGTCGCACTAAATTTAGAAATGATGTTGACGTGTTTGGATAATATCAAATTAGGCTTGAGAGAATGCTTAATACTCAACTAAGAATTGAAAGTTCTTTTTTTCCATGACAGAAACACGTTTGGCTCAAAATTAACATGTATGGCTCAAAAGAGCTTTCCATGTGACCAAATAATTGGAGGAAATGTGTCTAAGTTCCAGCTCAAGTGCACTCAAGTGAGGCCTTGGCAGCCAAGGCCTATGCTGATCAAGAACAAGTTTGGCCACAGCCACACGATTGGACCTACATGTAAAAACAATACTCCTGCATAATTTGCTGCCTACCAAGTACGAATCATCAGAAGTAGCACAATAATGTCTAACAATGTATTCTTTTTCTAAAGAATACGTGATACTATTCTAGTTCGCCTCGACACAAACTCATACTTTATACTAACTTTGAGTGTATAGAGTCGAGAATCATACCAACGCTAGATCATGCTTCACTAGAGTTCATCTCGAGCGACACATTAGTAAATATCAAATGGTTTGTTTTCAGCTATCATTAATGGTAAATTCATGAAGAACACAAGACAATAAATGAAAGAAGCATATTCCTTGCAAGGCTCTAGCATTTCATCTCGAACCAGCGACCTCAAAAGGAAACAAAAAATAGTAAATATATGCATAGCTTCACAGTTTTCAAATTGCAGAACCAAATTTTTACAATATATATAAATCAAAGATGGTTATTCCTCAACGTGTTTAAGAAACGGGGGGAAATTATTCCAGAAAAGGAGGAGGGCAAATTTGGCTCCTTCCAACTCCTTTTTCCAATAAATATCCAAACACCAACTTGCAGGGAAAAAAAAGAATCCTCTGTTTTGTTTTTCTGCGACCTCATCTGATATTGATCATGGCTGTTAAGGAGCGAAAAACAACCTCTTCACAAGGGATGGTGATGCCCAGATCATGGTTGAAACCAAACTCCTCCTCTGCTCTCTGCAACAGGCTCTGGAACTGTGGATGAGCCAGCCATGAAATCGGGACGATGTACCGACTTCGGTTTTCTCCAACATAGACAGCAAAGTGGCCCTTTGGCACATCATCGGGGAGGTCGCCATCTTCATTCCAGCCATTTCGCATGCCGAAGCTCGAACACCTTCGGAGAATATGTCTGAAGGAGGTTGATGGGTGAAGTAGATTAGCCTTTTTGATAGCCATTATAAGAGTTGAAAGGAGTACGAAGTGTCTTTGTGTGTTGTTTGTTTTTGTGGCTGGTGGGAGGGAGGAAAAGATATGATAAATAGATATAGATTGATGATGAGAGAGATTCAGTTTGAAGGGGTGGACTTGAAAGATGTATTTAAGAAGAAGAGGAAGAAGAACGAGAAACAAAATCATGTGAGATGTTGGAGCAAACCACAGACCACAAGAATTCTAAGCCAATTGTGTACTGCAAGAGTTGCATATGCCAACCCAAGTGGGCCTCCTGGCTACCCAGTTGCCTCTCTTAAGCACACAACATGGGCCCCCCTTAGCCATGGATGAATGTTCACACAGCTCCACATTCTCTTTATAAGTTCGGTCAACAACCTTTGTAGAGCGTAGAATTCGAACCTCTGACTTCTTGATAAAAAATAAATGTCTAAACTTGTTGTACTTCCTCAGGTCAGCTACAACTCTCTCTCTCCCTTTTCTTGAATTGGTTCAAATTCAATATCTGGAAACCACATCAGAGGAAAGTAAGAACATTGTATAATGACAAAAAAAAAAAAAAAAAATCCACAACCTACCAGCTCCGAACCTCTATATAGATTTGAATGTTCATTTGTATCTTACGTTTTCCAATTAAAAATCACTTACAAGCCAATATTTTTCCAAGGAGAACAGGAACAAATTGATAAAATAATAAGGATAGATTTCACGAGTGTTAGAATTTGTCTCGAATTCTGTACAATATAATTCATTAAGGTACTTCAATAGCTTTGACTATTTATTGAGACTCTCCACACGTATAAGTCGGACAGAGTGTGTATTCATTAAGTTGGCATTGAATTGAATTGAATTGTATCGTATCGTTGGACCACATGACCAGTCTACATCTACGACTCTCAGCCTGTTCTATTTACAAGAAGTGCTCCACAGTTATTGATTGTTCATTTCGTTTGGGAACAACTCATCTAAGAAATACAATTCTTCAGAAGAAAAAAAACTACAAAATATATTTATACAAACACATAGAGATCCTACAAATAGACAGCTAATCAGAAAGTTGGAAGCAGAAGGCAAATATTTCGGGGTTTCCAGAGCATTATAACTAAGACGTGCCGTAAAATGAAAGGCAAAATCGTTATATTACATGTTTTCCACGTGAGAGCCTGTAATCCAGTTTACCAGGAATATTTTTGACAGAAAACAACATTTTCACGAATTCAAAGTTCAAACTTGAGATTTTATCTTGATATTTTGGGGAAAATGAAACCAGATTGAAAATAAGAATATTTAAGAAATGTACCTGATTGGACCACCTGTTCAACCCAAATCTTGAGTCTATGTATAGACAGAATCCGCACAAGAAGAGGGTTGTTTTCCAATTCTGTCGCCGAGTGGTCCAAGTCCAGGACAAACGGTTCTATTTTCGAGCACAAAGTAGGATGGATTTGATGTCAGTACCTTACTTTGGTAGTGGACCATGGAGACGAAACTGTGTCTATATTCTTAATTCAATGCGCACTGGTCTGTCCATTGGAATACAGAAGTTGGTCCTTGAAAGCTCAGCTTAGCACAAGGCGAGGCCACAAATCATCGGTCCTGCAGATGTTGGCACATTTGAAAGATTCAAAAACCGTCATACTCCTTGACTGTTTGTTACCTGTATGTGAAATGCATCTATAAATGTTAATAGTAAATAATGTTGAGAGTCGAAAGAATGCATATTGAGTTAAGACTATGTCATATGCTCCAGCCAGCTCCCTTCAATGTCTCCACATCAAAAGACCACCCATGTGGCACTCCAAATGCTGGAAATACACAAGTTCAAGTTACTAGAGAGTTGTAATAAAAAGAGTTCATCTTATGTGAGCACCACTCACATATCCAGCCTTACTTACTTTTCTGACTTGCTTCAGTTTCCCATGTTCCAAGGCTCAAAAGCAATCTCGTCGGCTATGTTATAAACAGCCCCTTTGTCAATCCAACTAACGTAGGACAGCACAATTAACCTTCTGGTCCTTTCGCATTCTCATCGCCCTATTGAAAATTATCAGGGTAAATAGGTAGAGCACCAAACTGCATTAAGCAATTTCATAAAAGCAGGCTTTTCAATTCATTGTGGGTCATACAAATGGGAGCCTTTAGGTTTACAATAATGTCATCAACTAAAGCTATCTGAGCTTGAAATTTGTTTTATTTCAATGCAATGATGTTAACGCAGCAAGAAGCAATAAATACGAGAATAGATAGCCATTATCCATAGAAACAGCTGTCAAAACAATCTGCAAGCAGTATATAAAAGATGGAATGAGAAAGAAGGATAAACTATCATTGTCACTAAGACCTGTGAAACAGAGGCCAATATTACTAAGCAACAAAAGACAACTTCCTTTTAGCACATGGTGACCCGAAGAATGATGAACATTTCACGACCATGTTTATCATATCAAAAACAAGATTACTAAGCACAAAGCGAAGGCAACTACTCCAGTCTTCGGTGAAAAGGAAATCTTAAACAGTGCAACAGTGAAAGATAAAACTTTTATATATTCTCCTTCAAGATTTTTTTTTTTTTTTTTTTCCCTCTCTCTTCCGGGGGGTAGGGGAGTGTAGGCATCATTAATCTCCTCAGTATAGAGAAAATAGAAAGGAAAAAGGAACTATTAACAGCCATGTTATTTTCTCGGTTCAAAATTGTCGATCATAAATTATAATCATCTGGAGCTCTTCTCAAGCTTCTTCAGGACTTCAGGCCAGGCCAAAGAGTGGAAGCTGGATCACTTTGATTCAATTACCTGCCATTCTGATTTGATTCTAAGTCCAAGGAGCTATCCCTGCCAGACTATTTAACAATCTCCTATGGAAAGAGTAAAAATACCAGAGAACAATGTACTCTTCCCTTGGTATCTTGCTTTTGTGAGGGTGATACTCACAAGCTGACATTCACTTCACCCCAAAAGATGTTCGAGGAGAAGATGAAGAGGAGGAGCTTGACCACATACTTATTCATTGAACTGTTGCCAAGAGGATATGAGAAAAGCTCTGAACTATTACTAATTATTTAGACTCCAGGTCTTGATCCAAAGCTAAATAATTATGCAGACCTAACTATTCTTTGGAAGATAGCAACAAAGAAATAGCAGACTCTCTTGGAGATTTTTTTGGAGTTTGAAATTACGGGAGGCTTAAGGTTTGATATTTTTAGCTACTAATCCATGAAGGGAATTTACCGTAACTATTCTTTCTTTCAGATATTTTCCCACTAGATTTTTTTTTTCTTTTTCGCAATCTTCTTGGCCCTTTGGGTTTTGTAATGGATTGCTAGTTCTTCTTTGCCGTGCGTATTCACTTTCTTCAATACGGATGAGGGGGGATCAAACCATATGGGTGCTTACATAGCATAGTTGGGCCATAAGTGAGACAACGATAGTATTAAGAGTGACCCATCCTACTTCAATTAAACAAAACAACACTTTTAACTGCATGGATGCTAAAGAAAAACTAAAAACATTGTTGTTTACATGAACCTGAACCATGAGAACAGGCAGGTAAACCCTAATTACATGGATGAACTCCATTAGCAGCAGTTAATTCATAACCCGCAATTGGTTTAGAAAACTGAGGTAGTCCATCCATCACACTGAGTTGTCTTCTCAATTTGACAATATGAGCTTGCACCTAGTAGATCAACAATAACGTTAATATAGGAATCTACAATCTTATTCATGAGCCTACCAGCAGACTATTGTTCATGAGACCAGAAACGAAAGGATAAGCTAATCATGCTCAATTTAGAATTAACACATCATGTAACCAGAACAAGTACATACTACAATGCATCTGCCTCTGGGATGAACACATCATATCAAACTTCATAATAAATTGCACCAAAACCCAGAAAATTCCAATGATAAGTGGACTCCAACCTTCCACAGTTTGACATATTATCACACCACGACCAACTAGATGATGAAGACTATCAAAATCATGCAAACTTATACTAACAATAGAGCTAATCATTATGGTGTGATAATAACATGCCAAAAGTATGTTATCTTTACAAGCTAAAGTATTTCAACATGTAGAAAGAGAAAGATTAAGACGTAGGAGAAAATATGATTTAGATGAGAAGGATGTAAGAAACAAGATATTCCTACTTGTTGGCGAGCAGCTGCAAGTTTTAGCAGCTCGTCTGCCTCTGAGAAATTAAGGAACCATTGATTAAGGTGATGATCCTTGGTGTCACATCTCTCCCGAGGCACAACAACAGCTGGATGGTTTTGAACACGAGCACAAAAGTTTTCAAAGGGATCAGGAAACACAATTTCGTTGTAAGACTCCACAACAACAGGTTTCTTTGTTGTTTGTGGACCAGATTCGTCTTCAGGGTACAACTTCAAATGGTGTGTAACGTCCAAAAAAAAAAAAAAAAAAAAAAAAAAAAAAAAAAAAAAAAAAAAAAAAAAAAAAAAAAAAAAAAAAAAAAAAAA